TTCTGCAGCAGTATTTCAATCTTTTTTGAAGTTCTACCTCTCTTTTGCTTCTAGTTCACACCACGTGAGAGCAATTGACCTAATTATCATGGGCAGTGGTCATAATATATCTCAACCTGTCCAAAATAAAGATGCTACCCCATTAATCATGTGGTTTATTTTGTAATATGATCCAACCTAGTCTAATGAGAAACTTAACTAGAAATTTTGTTGAAATTATTGAGTAAAACAATATTAATTCATTTTCTGAAAAAGTAGCTTAGCTAGTAAGATACAAGATCACTGCTACTAGTGGCCATCTTGATGTGGAACAACACTGAGAATATTTCTTCAGGTAATCCTACATGAAATGTGTGCAAAACAGAAAAGAGAAAGTTACAATGAGAAATTTTACATACTGTATTCAGTAGAGCCTGAGGGTAGCTCTAAATCTAGATGCTTAAGAATACTACTGATAATAAATAATACTCATACAGCACATACTATGTGCTAAGCATTCTTTCATGTACTTTATAAGATTAATGTATCTAATATTCACAAGGACTGTATGAGATAGATATTGTCCAGTTTTGTTATGCCCTGCAAATAAAATGCCCTGACAAATTATATTCTCTCAATCATCTTTCTTTTGTTTGCAATCAACATTTTATATGTATTCACTTATTATGTATCACTGCTTTGATTCCTCAGAATTTATTTAGAGGTATACAAATATTTTGCTACTATAGGAATTAGCAAAAATTTAAGGTAAAACTTTCAAAAATGTTATTGCCCTCATCATACTGTAACAAGAATTAGTAATCAATGATACACTAAGGATTCAAGTCAAGTCCTAGAAAAATCCCATAGTTAAAATATTAAATAATATTAAGTGACACAGTTTGGTCCCAAGTACATATTTCTGAAGAAAATATATTTTTCTTATGAAAATTTCTACAAGATTTGATAAATTGAGATATTCCAATTCCATCAGTTGAGAACATGGTTTCTTATTTTTTGATCTCTGTTGGTTTGTAAAGTTTGTTTTGTCTGAAATTAGGATTGCAACCCCTTTGCAAATAATTCCTCAGGTAGCTCATCTAAGCTCTGAAAGGCTACAATAGCTCTCAAAATCTCAACAGAGGGAAATAAAATACTTCACAGTTGTAATGATTTTCTCTTTATATACTTTCTGCAAAAGTATAGTGAGAATACTAAGTATTTGGGAACTGATTTGAAAGTTCATAACTATTAAAAATTGCAAGAATTTTTATGGAGCATATTTATTTCAGAAATCAGTATCAAAGCCTGAAAAAAGTCTTAAATGTCTACATAATTCTCACAACATTTTATATATATATATAATTTTACATATATATATGTAAAAATAAGAAAGTTGGCCAAAGTTGCTCATATTAAACATGTTCCAATTACTACCTTACTTTAAACAAGAACCTTATAAATTCGTAAAATATATAAAATGTAAGGAATGGTACAAATAATGCTTCACTTCTTGGAGATGAAGTGAAGATGAAACATAAACCCCGTTTATTTATCCCAATTATTCCATGTTCACATACTCACAAAGGACACTATTCTGTCACCATTTAACCCTGTTCCCCAAAATCTCCTCACAAATGCAGTTTCAAAAAGAGCAAAACTATGCAAATTAAAATGTCATGATGTTACCAAACATGCTATGAAATTATAGACATCTTCTCCCAATGCTTACCCCTCCAAATAGTCATTCTGTTACAATCTATTAGCGGAGGGTGTTAACAGTAGAAAGAAAGTAACGGTCATCTTTATCTGTAATTTGCTGCTTGCTTGGTGTGCCATAGTTAAAACTATTCGGGACAAAGAGTGTTAGAAAATTGTGTATTTCCTTCCAGATAATATAGTTTTTCTGTATCATTTTCAATTGATATCACTACTGATCTATTTTTCATGACTCACCACATACTGGCTTGTGTTGTTACTCTGTATTGATTTAGGTTATTGCTAGCAAAGTAGCAGAAACTCTGATTTCCAAGATCAGCAGCTACTAACTATGATTTCTCACCCAGGAGCATGAAGAGGGAATATACACAGCTCAATGTTGTTGCTTTTTCTTTTTTTCTTAACATCAAAGCTGTTAGGGAAATAATCAAGAACTACTTTTACTGTGAATGTCAGCTTGTGAAAAGTGACATGATATGGTTCCAGCCTGACTCCCATTGGTCTCAAACACTTAATTAGAAAAAAGGCACACCATGAAACAATTGGGGCTTGATCTTTAAAACGAAAATGAACTATAATTAGACTTGAAAGCGTAAACGGGTATAAAAGGGAAGGCTTAGTGAAAATTCATATTATTAATAATACTTGAAATTAATATTAGAATTAACAATTCAGATGTAAACAATATTCTTTTAATTTAGAAACTGTCATGCTTACCAGAGCCAAAGGGGCATTTTTCTTTTGTTATAAATGGAAATGTGCACAAAATATGTTTGTTTCAACCTTTACAAAAGTGTCCTTCAGATCCCATAATGTATTACTGAATAAAACTAAAATCTAGCCTGAAAAATCTCCATACTCACATATTTAGCAGGTAAACAAACTAAAAGCCTAACTTTAGTAGTATGTTTCCCTGTAACAACAGCTTAGTCTCAGCCAATCCCAGTCGCTATACTTTAACCACTCATAGGCAGCCAACTGTTTAAACTTTGTTTAAATAAGGCAAATGCTGAGCTGCAACCAATCCAGCTGTTTCTGTATCTCAGTTTTGGTTTCTGCACATTACATTTTTTTCCCATAGATATTTGACCATGCAACAGTGCCAAAGTCTCTCCGAAATTTCTTTGATTCTAAGGGCTGATTTGCAAATCTTTTTTTTTCTTTTCTCAATTAAACTCTCTTAAATTTGTCTAAAGTTTGTCTTTTAACAGCATCAATAATTTACATATTTGGTAGGTGGGGAATAAGAATATACTTCATAGCACCTGGGTCCCAACACACTTTAAACAAGACAGGTTTCCAAGAAAATTGAGTGAAATATAACAGGCTTTCTCTGGGACTGGCCCACAAAGAAGGGCACTGCATAATGGTAAAGTGTTGAATTGAACAAGAAAACTTAACTATTCTAAATATTAATATTTATGCATCCAAAACAGGAGCACCCAGATTCATAAAGCAAGTTCTTAGAGACCTTCAAAGAGACTTTGACTCCCACAAAATAGAAGTGGCAGAAAAATGCAAAGTTAAGTAAATTGATAAGCATCATTTCATGTATCTATTATCTCTTTGTTAATAGTTCTCATTGCACTTTTAAAAAGGCTAGTTAAAATGTGTAAGCATTTCATAAATGTTCAATTTAAAATAGAATAACCTGCTCCTAAATGATTTTTGGGTAAATAATGAACTTAAGGCCAAAATTAAGAAGTTCTTTGAAACTCATGAGAAAAAAGATACAACATACCAGAATCTCTGGGACAGAACCAGTCTTAGGAAATTTACAGCACTAAATACACACACCAAAAAGTTAGAAATATCTCAATTTAACAACCTAACTCATATAACATCACAACTAAAATAACAAAGGAACCAAGAGAAAACCAGCCCCAAAGCCAGCAGAAGACAATAAATAACCAAAATCAGAGCTGAACTGAAGGAGATTGAAATACAAAAGTATTCAAAAGATCAATGAATCCAGGAGTTGGTTTTCTGAAAAAAATCAATAAAATAGACTGCTAGCTAGACTAATAAGAGAGAAAATCCATATAAACACAGTCAGAAACAATGGAGGAGATATTACTACTGACTCCAAAGAAATATAAATAACCATCAGAAAATATTATGAATACCTCTATGCACACACAAGAAAATTGAGAAGAAATGGATAAACTCATGGACACATACACCCTCCCAAGACTGAGCTAGGAAAAAATAGAATCCCCGAACAGACCAATAATGAATGAGCTCTGAAACTGAATCAGTAACAAATAGGCTACCAAAAAAAAAAAAAAAAAAAAGCCCAAGACCATATAGATTTACAGCTGATTTCTACCAGATGTACAAAGAAGAGCTGGTACCATTCCTGCTGAAACTATTCCAAAAAATTGAGGAGGAGGGACTCCTTCTCCTTTGTAACTCATTCTGTGAGGCCAGCATCATCCTGATACCAAAACCTGGCAGAGACACAACAAAAAAAGGAAACTTCACACCAATATCCTTGATGAACATCAATGCAAAAATTCTCAACAAAACTCAGCCCCAGCAGCACATCAAAAAGCTTATCCATCACAGTTAAGTAGGCTTTATCCCTAGGATGCAAGGTTGGTTCAACATACACAAATCAATACATGTGATTTGTCACATAAAGACAACTAAAGACAAAAACCACATGGTTTTCCCAATAGATGCAGAAAAGGCTTTTGATAAAAATCAACATCCAGCAGGGAACGGTGGCTCATGCCTGTAATCCCAGCACTTACGGAGGCTGAGGCAGGTGGATCACAAGTTCAGGAGATCAAGACCATCCTGGCTAACATGGTGAAATCCTGTCTCTACTAAAAATACAAAAAATTAGACAGGTGTGGTGGCAGGTGCCTGCAGTCCCAGCTACTTGGGAGGCTGAGGCAGGAGAATCGCGTGAACCCGGAAGGCAGAGCTTGCAGTGAGCCGAGATTGTGCCACTGCACTCCAGCCTGGGCAACAGAGTGAGACACCATATTAAAAAAAAAAAAAAAAAAACTGTGCCATGTGTACAAAAATCAATGCACAATTATGAACTTTTTTTCAAATATATTTTCACGTTTCTAAATACATAATACAGAAGCCTGTGTAACACGGGCAATGTCGCCCAGGAGGGCCTGAGACTTAACACATACACCTAAGCAAAAGGACATAAAATATCTCTTACCGTCGGAAAAATCAACATTTTGTCTATGTACTTAGTTTACGAAATGTACTGAAAATGCTGCTATTAGCTGAATTTGTGATTTCCTTTTGAATTTCTGAGTTATTCTTATTTATTTTTCCCATTTTGTTTTTGCACCAAGGAGACGGCAGTCAAATAAAATTAAACAGATACTACACGTGCTCGTCGGGGCAGCTGTACTGCAGCCGGACCTTGATGCACTCCTGGCTGGAGGCCTGCCGGGCGTAGGCCAGCGCTGTGTTCTCGTGGGCATCTCCAGCCATGACATCCATCCCGTACCAGATCAGGAGCTGCGCCAGGACCACATTCCCCTTGCGGCAGGCCAGATGGAGCGCCGTGCAGCTGTCTCCCTCCCCACAGGTCTCGTTCACCTACTCCCAGGAGCCATGTGCCAGTAGTAGGATGGCTGTCCGCAGGTCCTCATCAGCGGTGGCCTGCAGCAGATGCTGGCCCAGGGACAGCTCCCTGGAGGGTAATGGAGCCAGGAAGAGCTTCTGCTCATATTTGGCACGGTTCCACCATTCCTTCTCTTCCCTTGTGGAGTCTACTGAGGGTTTCATCCGCCCCTGGCTGCTCTCTTGCCAGATGCTGTTGGCTAGCTCATTGCCAATAGATGACAAAACCTGCATGAGCTCGACTGGCCAGTCATCCAAGTCCAGAGATCAGACTCGGGAAAGGCGGGTGCCAAGATTACAGTGGATCCCTGAGCATTCAATACACATGAGGACTCCCAAGTTCAAACTGGCCCAGTTAGGATTCTGGGTCTCACAGTGCACACAGTGGGAGTTCCCACATGTTTCGGATGGACTGCAGGACCATGGCCTCCCTCTAGCTGATTAGCCAGAACTTGCTTTTGCTGCTCTCGCATGACTGCAGGCTGGCCAGGATCTGGCTCTCGATGGCTTGGACCCAGGCATCCCGCTTCTCATACGACGTGGCTTCAAAGTGCCACGTTTGGCCAGTGAGGGACACAATGATAAAGTTTTCTTCTCGTTCTTCAGCAGTGCCGGAGAAGCCATCGTCTTTTAAGTTTTTGGTGCTTTTCTTCCTTCCATGTTTCCTTTTGTTGGCATGAGGAGAGGGGGGTGGGCTGAGCTTGGGGCTGGTGGTGCTGGAGATATTGGGGCTGGAGCATATGGAGTCACTCAGCCCGGTGTCTGAATTGGCTGAGGTACATAGACTGTTCATGTCCTTGGATAGGCCATTGCTTTTAGAGCTGGAAATGGGCACGCAGGCCAATGTGGCTAGGGGTGGCCTCTTTCCTGGGACTTTGATGGTACATGTTCGAAGATCAATCTCTTTTTTATGAATGTTCTTCATGTAATCACCTAAGCTTGAATAATAGGTGAGCATGCCATTGTCACAGAGGGTGACATATTTCTTTTTCCATTTCTTCAGCCATTTCCCACTTAGCTTTAAGAGCATGCCCTGTTTAATGGGGATGGCTCTGCCGCTCCTGATGGTGTCAGCATGGCTCTCCCGGGCTTTGTTCTCTTTGTCTGGGTCACTCCCTTTCTTAGATGTAAACAGTTTGGACCAGTGCTTGGACTGCTTGCGAACGGGCGTGGGTGTGTTGGCAGTGGGAGGAACATTGATCTGAAGGTCCTCCTGGCTGGTGCTGGGAGTCGATGGAATGGAGGAGGAATCGTTACTAAAACTCCCACCTCCATTTCTCATCTGGGTAATGTGCATGGTGGAAACCTGTGTGGAACAGAAGGAGGAATGGCTTCGAAAATTGGGTAGTGAGTTGCAGGGTCCTGTAGACAGCTCACAGTTACCTTTTAAAAAGATACATTTTCTGGGCCAGGTACGGTGGCTCACACCTGTAATCCCAGCACTTTGGGAGGCCGAGGCAGGTGGATCACGAGGTCAGGAGTTCACGACCATCCTGGCCAACATGGTGAAACCCTGTCTTTCCTTAAAAAAGAAAAAAAAATTAGCTGGGCACGGTGGCATATGCCTGTAATCCCAGCTACTTGGGAGGCTGAGACAGGAGAATTGCTTGAACAGGGACCTGGGAGGCAGAGTCTGCAGTGAGCTGAGATTGCACGATTGCACTCCAGCCTAGCTACAGAAAGAGACTCCACCTCAGAAAAAAAATATATATATACATTTTCTGTTTTGGATAGCATATTTACTCATAATAGCTAACTAACTAAACAGAGTTGCAGATCCATTCTTATTCCAGCATATTCTTTTTACAACACTTAAGATGACTAAATGCAACATGAAATGGGAAAGATTTTTAAAAAGATGACTTCGGCTTCAGCATGAAACAGATACAAGTGTATGATGAAAATACAACCTCAGTAAAAGCGATACTTACAGTAAATGAGTATAACTGTTCATCAAATAAGGTCAAAGATCCATCTGCATCTCTATAAAATAGGAATGTGCATTACTTCAAAAACTGTTAATATCTTAGTATAATACCTGTTTAGTAAAATACTGCCTCCTGTGTGCTTTGGTGTTTACCAAAGTTTTTACGAATTCTCCTCCTGGATCTTGACTTGCAGAGGATTTCCTGACTTCTTCTTTATCAGCACTTCATGTCCTGTACTGTGAAGTGTTTTATATAACAAATCAGAAATGCCCGTAAGTATTGACTCTCCCTAACAGGCAATGGCAATAAACCAAATATATTTTCACTCTTCTAATCACACACTGAAACACAAGAATGTTTTACAAAGCACAAGAATGTTTTACAAAGCAGTAGTGATGAACTTTAATAAATGTAAACGTGATTCAGATTTCCGAGCTTCCTTTCTCTTTAGTTCTCTGTAGTATATTCTCATGATGTATGGTATTTTCAAAAAAAAAAAAAAACCTTGCATAAGTGATCTCAGTGAGTTCCACCTATCCCACTGACAACACTGCACTACTGACTTGTGATAAACATTTTTCAAAATCTTTTCTTGAAGCCAATTTGCCCTATTAATTTGCTCAATAGCCTTTATTTCACCAATAGTGAATATACCAAATGATTATTTCTCAAACTTGCTGACAGCAAATTAAAAGTTACTTTACTTTCAAAAGTAGACTTCTACAAAGTGGAATAATGAGAAAAAAAGCATGAAATTTGTTTGAGCAAGATTAATCTCCAAAGCTACTTTTGAATTGTATGCTAACACATCAGAATCTTTTGAACTCAAAAGAAGCCAGGGACTCTAGTCAAAGTAGTTTTGGTGTATGTGTGTTCAAAGATTTAAGAGACTTGGCTGACTACAGACATTTAGTGATTACTCAATAGGTCCCAAAGCTCAGGACTTAATGGACAGAGTTTGAGTCCAGTTTTTGCTGAAACATAATTCCCTCTCAACTATTGTTAAAAGGGAGAGAGGAAAGTGACATTATTATGAGTGTAAACTTGCCATTTTGAATTGAAGTAAAAGTTACTGACAATTGAATTAACTAAAAAGGCTAGTGTATTAGCAAGACAATTGTTTAAAAGCTAGTTATGTTTACAGAACGAAAAGTAAAATTAAAGACATTAATATTCTAAATTACTACTTTCCAAACTGTGTTCTAAAAATCAACACTCATGACCCAAGGAGATAATAATAATGTACACTGGACAGCCCCTATGGAGCTGGTGCTGGTGTTGGTTGTTGCTCCTTTTAAAATATACTTCATCTCAGGGTGATCTTAAAGTGCATCTTTGTGGCCTATGAGGTGCTCATGCACAATAGGAGAAATTCTAATGCAGATACAGTGTGGTGTCACAAGAGGAAAAGCTGTTCCTTCTTCCAAGGCTAATGTCCAAAGTAGTACACACTGATTCAGGTCTATAATGCATTGAAAAACTAAGTTTTCACAAAAAACATTCAATAAAGGGAACCTATCCTTCTCACTTGTTTAACATTGTCTAAAGGCATAAAGGCATCAAAATGATCACTCTTTTTCTAGGATTGATTCTCTGCTAAGTGATTTTTTTTTCCTTCCACCACGAAGTCTAAGATTCTTTTTTTTTTTTTTTTTTTGAGACGGAGTCTCGCTCTATCGCCCGGGCTGGAGTGCAGTGGCCAGATCTCAGCTCACTGCAAGCTCCCACCTCCTGGGTTCATGCCATTCTCCTGCCTCAGCCTCCCGAGTAGCTGGGACTACAGGCGCCCACCACCTCGCCCGGCTAGTTTTTTTGTATTTTTTAGTAGAGACGGGGTTTCACTATGTTAGCCAGGATGGTCTTGATCTCCTGACCTCATGATCCGCCCGTCTCGGCCTCCCAAAGTGCTGGCATTACAGGCTTGAGCCACCGCGCCCAGCCGAAGTCTAAGATTAAAAGAGAAATTGATACTTAATATTTAGAATCTGAATATCAATATATAGTTGATTCTAATTTCTTAAAGTGATTATAGAAGAGGACAACCAAATGGCTGAAATAATTTTAGAATAAACGAATCTGTCCCTTGGCAGTATAGTTGTACTCACGATATTATTGTCATTGTAAGATAAGGCTGGCTGGCTGTGCTGTCATCAAGGAGTATTGTCGAAGATGAGCTGTATTGTTGACTGAAACGCACAGTAGATACTTGAAGGGGAAGGGAAATGTAAGTTAAACTTATCAAAGTTTTCTTTGTTAAAATGTGAAATGACAAAGCACTGAGATATTTCTTACACTCCATGAACTGCCTGAGTGCGGTATCATTTGCACTCTATAGAAAACCCATTGGAGCTCTTAACTTCCAGAGACGATGTTTAAGATACGGGTTATAAAATGCTGCCCTTAATATGGTACCTGCCATCAAACCTAACAAGGATTTTATGAATTCCCTTTAAAAATCATGAGAAGTTTAAAGTAAGATTTTTTTTTCTACAGCAATATAAAGCAGCCGAGAATTTCTATTTCTATGATTTATTTACTACGATAAAATGTAATGCATTAAATAATACTGGTACAAGAGCATTTTATTGCAGTGAATACAAGACTAATACATTTACTAAATTACTCATCCTAAATGTATTATTTCAGGTGATATTGGGACAAAACAAGTGTTTCAGATTCAGAGGCTCTGTTTGCCAGGGCTGCTAGGCCAGCAACAAGTGAGGAAGTCATAGGTTTCTCTAGTCCTATTTTCTTATGTGGAGGATAAAAAGAGTATCACTTAAATATTCTCTCACACCCTGAAAACAGATGACAACTTAAAAAATCTAACTTTCACTTCATGTTTAAATAAGACTGCCATGACATGACTCAAATGAGACTCTCAGAAAATACTTTCTATTCATTTCAAAACTTGATCAATTTCAATCTATAAATCATCTGACCTGTACCTAGCCATTTTCCTGCTCTAGCCCTGCTCTCTCCCTAGAATACTGCTTTTCTCTTTCCTTGCTTCAGCAAGCTTGACTCCATCTACCCTCTTGGATCTCTTTGTTGGCAGCCACACCAAAAAATGTTCTTTTGTTCACTGATTACTCGAAGTCACCACTGTTTACAAGATATGAATTCTTGCAGAGTATTCCCCTCATGAGAAAGTACACCTCTCCATAAGAGTACGGGAGGGCCCTTCTCTTCCTACCTCCAGCTGCTGAGCATAGAATTTTGAGTAACTCCAAAACTTCGACAAGTGTTTGACAATTCAGTTATCATTTGGAAGATAAGTCTTACTACATTTAATTACAGCAAAAACACTACTAACAGTTTACTGTTTATAGGTATTATTTAAAGTAGTTACAAAATAGAAACAATCTAACATCAGTCAGCATAAATCAGAGTATGAAATTGTACGCTCTTTAATAAGAAATGGAAGGGGTTACTTAGTAGTTTCAAGGTTTAATGACAAAAACTAGAAAATAATTGCACCTAGTACTTTAGTAAGTCAAAACCAAAATCAAAGGTCCAGTACCCGTTGGACGCCAAGGCCCACCGCCTTCTTCAGCTGTACCTGCTGCCTCTCATTTTAACCCATTAAAAATACTAATGTTGTTTTCCTTGTAGAGGTCTTTCACCTCCGTGGTTAGGTCTATTCCTAAGTATTTTATTTTATTTTATTTTGCAGCTATCATAAAAGGGGCAGAGTTCTTGGTTTGATTCTAAGCTTGGTTGCTGTTGGGGTATAACACAGCTACTGATTTGTGTACATTAATTTTGTCTCCTGAAATTTTGCTGAATTCATTTATCAGTTTTAGGAGCTTTTGGGAAGAGTCTTTAGGGTTTCCTAGGTATATGATCATATATCATCAGCAAACAGCAACAGTTTGACTTCCTCTTTACCGATCTGGATGCCTTTTATTGCTTTCTCTTGTGTGATTGATCTGGCTACGCCTTCCAGTATTATGTTGAATAGAAGTGGTGAGAGTGACTGCTGCAAACCTTAGTTACGTCCTAGGAAAAAGAATACTTCCTAAAATAAAACTAAGGTATCATCCTTACCCTTCTCTTTGTCTCATCCAGAAATATGATGGGGGAATTACCTGCCCTAACCCCTTCCTCAAGAAATATATTACTGTACTCTGGAATTTAGACAAAACCTTAAATCTCCAGGCTTTTTAAAGCACAAAATATAAATAAAAGCTGGGAAAGTAAACCAAAATTCTTCAGATTGTTCCTCATGAATATCCCCCTTCCTCTGCAGTTCCCCAGAGTGGTAACGGATGGGTAGAGGCAGCTCAGGTGAATGACCCAGCTTGCCTCTCAACTCATTCCTCCTCTTCCTCTCAAAGGCTGAAGGCAGGGCCTTTCCAGTCCTCATGACCTGCCCTTCACCTAGTCCCTCCTGACCTAGGGATGGAGGCTTTGAGTCCCACAGTGTGGTGATACAGAGCACTAGTTGTCACTGCCTGGCTTTATTTAAAGGAAATGCAGTAGGCTTCCTCTGTAGAGCTCTGAAAATGTTGACTGTACAGAAGTCTTCTATGTTTTTACTTGGTCAAGTGTTTCTTACATCTTTTGTTATCAGAGTACCATTCCAATCTCTTAACTTGCAGTTGTGTGGAAAACTGTTTTGTTTTGTAATAAAAGATCTTCACTGGGGGATTGAGCAGCATTTAATAAAGTCTATGTTTGTTAAAAAAAAAAAAAAAAAAAGATGTGGTGAGAGTGGGCATCCTTGTCTTGTTCCAGTTCTCAGGGGAAATGCTTTCAATTTTTCCCCATTCAGTATTATGTTGGCTGTGGGTTTGTCATAGATGGCTTTTATTACATTGAGGTATGACCCTTGTATGCTGATCTTGCTGAGGGTTTTAATCATAGAAGGATGCTGCATTCTGTCAAATGCTTTTTCTGTGTCTATTGAGATGATCATGTGATTTTTTGTTTTTAATTCTGTTTATGTGGTGTATCACATTCATTGACTTGTGTATGTTAATCCATCCCTGCATGCCTGGTATGAAACCCATTTGATCATGGTGGATTATTATTATTATTTTTGAGATGGAGTCTCCCTCTATCACCCAGGCTGGAATGTGCAGTAGGGTAATCTTGGCTCACTGCAACCTCCACCTCCCAGGTTCAAGCTATTCTTCTGCCTCAGCCTCCTGAGTAGCTGGGATTACAGGCATGCACCATCATGCCCGGGTAATTTTTGTATTTTTAGTAGAGACAGGGTTTCACCATGTTGGCCAGGCTGTTCTCAAACTCGTGACCTCGTGATCCACCCGCCTCGGCCTCCCAAAGTGCTGGGATTACAGGCGTGAGCTACCGCGCCAGGTTGGAGTATTTTTTTGATATGCTGTTGGGAACTACAAAACATTGCTGGATGAAATCATGGACATAAACAAATGGAAAGACATCCCATGCTCATGAATGTGTAGAATGAATATTGTGAAAATGACCATACTGCCAAAAGCAATCTACAAATTCAACACAATTCCCATCCCAAACCATATATCTCAGGTTTAAGCCATGGTATCTCTGAGCCAGAAAAACCTCACAGTGAGAAATATCAGTTAACAGAAAGTCCTGCTTCCAAATAAAGCAGACCAGGGACCGCCACACATTGGAGAGAAGCCTCCAACAGAAGAGATCAAAACAACAGAAAAAAGGAATTCATGAGAGCAGTGAAAACCAGGAGAAAAACTTAAAAAAAAATCTTAAAACACTCTCAAAAAATATAAAATTTAATAGAAATAGTAGAGGATAAAATGACAGAATATCCCAGAAGTAGAAAAACTGAAAAAAATAGAAGGGGAAAAATTAAGAACCAATGCCTGTATACTGGTCTAAGCAGCCTAGCATCTGAGTAACAAGACTACTAGTAAAAAAGTAACAGAGAAAATAAAAAATTCTCAAGAAGAGATAGTTCGCAGGTTTAGCAGCCTCAATAAAATGAAAAGATCCCCACCAAGCTGTGACTGCTTTTTTTTTGTTTTGAGATGGAGTCTCTCTCTATTGCCCAGGTGGAGTACAGTAGTGCAATCTCAGCTCACTGCAACCTCTGCCTCCTCGGTTCAAGTGATTCTCCTACCTCAGCCTCCCAAGTAGCTGGGACTACAGGTGTGCACCACCACTCCTGGTTAGTTTTTCTATTTTTAGTAGAGATGGTGTTTCAGCATATTGGCCAGGCTGGTCTTGAACTCCTGATCTCGTGATCCACCCACCTCAGCCTCCCAAAGTGCTGAGATTACAGGCGTGAGCCACCGCGCCCAGCTCCCACCAAGCTGTTATTATAAAATTTCAGCACCTCAGAGTTGTAGAAGATCCTAAAAAGCTTCCATAGATACCTAAAACCTGGTTGTAAATAATGTGTCACACACTGGCAATAGATTCAAGAACAACACTGTAATAAGAGCACAACTGCGAAACGTCTTCAGAACCATAAAATATAGATTGAACCTAGAGGTGTCCTCTCTGTCAAAGAGGAGGGATTTTAAGACTGGTCAGCTCTCTAAACATCTCCACCCAGGAAAATGTGTTCAAGTACAACTAGAGAGGATAACAGGACAGAAGGAAACACAGAATCAGGGACTCAGGGACAGAATCAGGGACTCAGGCGATCCCACACAAGACAGCAGTTATATGAGATCCCAAAAGACTTTAAGGAGATAGCACAGAAAAGCAAACATCGAGCCTATCTAGGGAAAGCCACTCCATACTGAACTAGGATGACAAAAGGCCAAAGAAAGTTGCCCTCCTACAAAGAAAAAAAGGAACAAATGTGTTTTCACAGACAGAAAATGTCTTTGAAAGGCATGTGATAAATGCTACAACACTTGGGGGAAAACAGCTATTAGAAAATAAGCAAAGGAATATAGTCAGAAAATTAGCTTCACGCTAAAAAATAATGGATGTGAAAGCAAACAGACCACCCAGAGGCTACTTACTATATTTGGATGGATAAACTAACATCAGCTAGGAAAAAAGGGAAGATCCAGGAGAATTGCGGAAGTGCTCAGATTTCAGAACTGTTTCAGAGACAGGGTGAAGGACATGTAATGCAGAGGCACAGTGAAAACACCATATGACTTAGCAGTGAATAATATTTGCAGAGTCATAATCATGTAAATATTACTGATTTAATGAAAAAGTGTGCTAATACTAGAAGAAAAAGAGGGAGAAAAATAAGATCATGGTGTAGTGAGGAAGGTCCCGGGTTCAAGTAATTCTCCTGCCGCAGCCTCCTGAGTAGCTGAGATTACAGGCATGCACCACCGCGACCGGCTAATTTTGTATTTTTAGTAGAGACAGAATTTCACCATGTTGGTCATGGTTGTCTCAAACTCCTGACCTCAGATGATCTGTCCACCTCGGCCTCCTAAAGTGCTGGGATTACAGGCGTGAGCCACGATGCCCAGTCTTAAGGCAGATCTTTTTATCACAACCAGACTATTGAAATTTAACTTAAATATCAGAAATCTTTAAAAGATGGACACACTAAGCTAAAGACTTTTCTGGATAAATTTAATACTTAGGAAAATAGAAGAGATTTAGAAAATCCACAAAAAGAGGTCCATGCTATCGCCAGTGGGTCCACATTGTAATCTAAAGAAATCAAGAGAGAGAACTTTTATGTCAAACTATCAATTTCGTAACTATTTGACTGTTTACTTACATGGTTTGTACAATTGCTTCTTCTTATTTCTACAACTAAGAATAAAAAAAACCAAACTGGTCACTTCTGATACAAATACCATAAAATAAAAGTAGCTGTTAACATCTTACTGATTACTCCTATGTAAAATGAGACAAAATTCCATTTAAAATATTATTTTCAATAATTTATAATTTAAATTATCTGGCACAATTAATGTCATAAAGTCAAATTAGTTTTTCATCTACTTTACCTTTTGTTTCTATTACATACAAATGAAAGAATCGTCATGTACAAAAGATAAGGGCAAAAAAAATTAGGCCAGATGAAAAATTTAGCTAATAAAGAGTTCAACTGTTGTATATATGAGCCATGATCCATTAGTATTCTCTCATTCGGTATTTACACATAGCTTACTTTAATTATCAGAAGCTAAGCGCTAACAGCTCTAAGAACTACTTCCTGACCAGGCACCTATCTCTAGATGCAACAGAATCCCTGTGAGCATCTTGAACCACACTTAGTGGTTATCTACTAATATGTCACTAAAAACAAAACAAAAAAAAAAGGGTCTTTACACAACTGGAAAGTAATCTGTCTTAAATTTTTTTTTTTTTTTGAGACGGAGTCTCACTCTGTCACCTAGGCTGGAAGGCAGTGGTGGGATCTCAGCTCACTGCAATCTCTCTGCCTCCCAGGTTCAAGCAATTCTCCAGCCTTAGCCTCCCAACTAGCTGGGACTACAGGCACGTGCCACCATGCCTAGCTAATATATATATATTTTTTTTGGATTTTTAGTAGAGACGAGGTTACACTGCATTAGCCAGGATGGTCTTGATCTCCTAACCTTGTGATCCACCCACCTCGGCCTTCCAAAGAGCTGGGATTGTAGGCATAAGCCCCAGAGCCTGGCCTAAATTTTAATTATAAAATGAGTATACAAACCTAATTGGACATGGTGTCTGCAGCACAAAAAATCATTTTTGTTTTTCTAAAATAAGGCCATAATAATAAAAGCCTCAAGAGGGACTTGGGCCATGCTTTGTTTCCTACACTGCCTCTGCCTTTGATGCTGGAAGGGCCTTGTAGGCAAAAGTTCCTACCACTGAAGAGTGAGGGACATGGAATAGCTTTTCTTTTATGGCTTCCATGCTCTCTAGGTGTGAGAAGCCAATGGCTCTGGAAGGAGCTGGGGAATACAATTCTGATATGTGTTGGATATGTTCCCCCTCCAAATCTCATGGTAACATGTGACCCTTAATGTTCCTATCTTGAACATTAGGGCGTACTGGGAAGTGTTTGGGTAATGACGGGGGATTCCCTATGAATGGCTTGGTCCCATTCCCATGGTAATAAGCAAATTCTCATTATGGTAGTTTAAAAGAGTGTAGTACCAGCCAGGTGCAGTGGCTCAAGCCTGTAATCCCAGCACTTTGGGAGGCTGAAGTGGGCAGATCACCTGAGGTCAGGAGTTTCAGACAAGCCTGGCCACCATGGAGAAACCCTGTCTCTACCAAAAATACAAAACTTAGCCAGGTGTTGTGGTGCTCACCTATACTCCCAGCTACTCAGGAGGCTGAGGCAGGAAAATTGCTTGAATCTGGGAGGTGAAGGTTGTAGTGAGCCACGATCGTGCCATTGCACTCCAGCCTGGGCAGCACAGCAAGACTTCACTTCAAAAAAAAAAAAAAAAAAGTGTGGTACCTTTCCCCTTCCCCTCTCTCCTCCCTCTTTACCATGTGGAAAAACCTGCTTCCCCTTTGCCTTCTATCATGATTGTAAGCTTGCTGAGGCCCTCTCCAGAAGTAGATGTTGAAGCCATGTTTGTACAGCCTGAAGATCTATAAGCTGATTAAACTTCTTTTTGTTATAAATTACCCAGCCTTAGGTATCTCTTTATAGTAATGTAAAAAATGAACACAAATTCTAACCACAAATAACTGACTCAAGATGGGCAAAGTCTACTCAAACTATAAAAACAAAGGTTACAAACTCCCATGTTTTACTGTGCTGCATTACTTCGCATATTATTATGGAACCCTCACTTGTATTCTTGCTGTTTAAGTCAACTGGAAAACTTGGCTGTGTATGGCTTTTTAGCAAATAAATGAGGATTTAGCATAACATTAAGGAAAATAAGCAGGAGTAGGGCATGTTTAAATTGACATTACATCAAATGAAAAGGTTAATAACTTAAAAGTTTTGAGTAGCATGAACTTGGATGTGGTAAATGAATGTGGTCAGAGGACTGTGTGAGAGGAGGCACAAAAGACATATTCAATCCCCGATGATAAACAGCTACGTTTTTTAATTTATTTAAATGAAAACCAAGCTAGAGCCTAAGTTCTATCATTCAGCTTTAAAATGTACTCTTTGGAGCAAGGGAAAAGGGACCAAGAATTGTGAATAAAGAGAAATCCATGACTCCTCCGTCACATGACAAATTAATTGTGTTGATAAAAAGATGGCAAAATGTATAAACAAAAAGTTTACATGTTTTCACTAACAAGATAACTAAAGGAAAGTATATCACATGTTAAAATAAGACAAATGAATATGCGAAAAGTTGAAAAATTTAAACCAATATGAGTTTTTCTAAATACTTCCTATAATACACCTGATCAAACAAGAGTTTTTATTCTTTCTCTCAGCGGAAAAAACAATGTTGTCTCACCATCTGTTTGAGAGTTCCTCTGGAATATTGTGCTTGCCTCTGAATTGGCAGAAGGGTTAAACTCCAAAGCTATATGTATAGAGGGAGAAAAGAAAAAAGATGTAATCATTTATAAAACTTTATCAATTCATTTATTCAACTGCTGCATTTAGGCTATGTCACTACCTCTACTTTTATTCTTATCCATTGAAATGAATGTATAGACATAAGATAGAGCCAGGCAAGATGGCACATGCTTGTAGTCCCAGCTACTCAGAAGGCTGAGATGGGAAAATCACTTGAACCCAGGTCAGGAATTTGAGGCCAGCATGAGTAACATAGTGACACCCTCCTTTATTTAAAAAAAAAAAAAAAAAAAAACAAAGAGGTAAATGTTGGCTTTGAATTGTGTAAAATCAACTTTGCATAAAATAAATCAAGATGGCAGTAAGTTTTAAAAGACAGGTCTATTTTTTAGGCAAAGTATAAGATTATTCTAGAGTTTTTAAAATTTTTAAAAAGTAAATTCAGCATATCTGTCACTTCCATGTCATTGAGGACACAGAACCTTAGTTCTGTTGCATAGCTGTCTTCCACAGTCATGTGATATCTGTAAGTCTTCATTTTTTCATTAGCAATACAAAGGGAGAACATACACAGGCCTTATTTGTATTGGAAAGGGCCAAGTGAGACATACATAAACTGTGTTGTAATCCTAAAGAATGACAATAAAGAGCCATTTCTGGGCTCTCATCTAACACTACCCCGCTACTAACGGGTGTGTAACATCACTCAGAGGCTTTCCTTACATCGCCAAGGAGAGTATAAGTTTACACAACTACTTACATGCTTTGTGTATAAAGGTGTATAATCAATTAATTCATATATTTGTTTATTCTAAAGCAATCCTTAAATATCTTGAAAAGTGAGGATAGTACTTCCAAGTTACAAAGTCATACTCATCATGAGTCTTAATTGTCCTACCTCTTAAAAAATTAAGAGCCCAACCAAAGTTTAAATAGAAGAGCTTCAAGACATTTCCTCTACAACAATGAAATCTCTGGCATTTAAATGAAACCAATAAGCCAACTGGATTTAATTTCATTGTGATGCAATGTTTTCTATCTTGAAAATTTTAGTTTTTATTCAAGAATCACATTATTACCTGGAATTACTTCTACTTAGATACATCTCTTTGCAAAATTTTAGAGGTAAACCAACTAATTGTTTTCCCTTTTCTACTGCCTCCCATCCCCCACCTCTTCCAGCAGGGTAGAGACGGAAAAACTCCAAAACTCCATCTTTCTTTCTTTCCTTTCTTTCCCTTCCTTCCCTTTCTTCCCGTTCTTCCCTTCCTTCCCTTCCCTTCCTTCCTTCCTTTCTTTCTTTTTTTTTTTTTGAGATGGGGTCTCATGCTATCACCCAGGCTGGAGTGCATTGGCACAATCTCTGCACACTGCAACCTCCACCTCCCAGGTTCAAGCAATTCTCCTGCCTCAGTCTCGAGAGTAGCTGGAACTACAAGCATGCGCCACAATGCCCAGCTAATTTTTTAGTAGACACGGGGTTTCACCATGTTGGCCAGGCTGGTCTCGAACTCCTGACCTCAGGGGATCTGCCCTCCTCAGCCTCCCAAAGTGCTGGGCCACCATGCCTGGCCAAAACTCCAATTTTCTTATCTTTGAACAAGATGCTATTGTCAGGAGGGGAAAGGACAAAGAGGGAGCCACGGCAGCAAACACTCTTACAGGGAAGGTTGGAGATTCTAACCTGCAATCTTTATATTACACATTAAAAGTCTACATTAACATTTCATGTCTTTTGAAAGTTTTGACCATGAGCCCCACCTCTCCTTTAGAACAAGGAGATAAATAAAATCTGTTAAGTCACCAGAATAAATCTGGAGACACATTTTCTGTTAAAGTAAGAATTTTAAAGTAATCAGAGCCTCATGGGTAAACTCCTTTGACAAACCCTCCCCCAACACACGGCCATTTCTCTGCATTTTCATGATGTTTCACACCTTTCACAATTATTTTAACCACCCTCTTTTTTTTTCCTTCTGCATTCAAATTAGTTAGAAGAAACTAAGCAGCTTCTATCAAGGTAACTTAAAGCAGCCCATTAAGAATACCATACAGCCTCTCCCATGGCAACCTCCATTCTGATTTTAAATAAGAAATCCCCAAATATCTGAATATGAACTGTCCTGAGATTTAGCTACTTTAACAAAGGAAACAATTAGGCACTTACCTGGTTCCTTCACTTAGGTACCATCTGGATAGGTACGAAGAAAATATAAGATGGGTACTGGAAAGTTGGGATATCTGAGTTTTTATTGAGAAAAGGAAGAGAATATTCCAAAGAAGCCTCGACAAAGTTCCACAGGATAATAAATAGAGCTACAGACAATGTTGTCTCACCATCTGTCTGACAGTTCCTCTGGAATATTGTGCTTGCCCCTGGATTGGCAGAAGGGTTAAACTCCAAAGCTATATGTATAGAAGGAGAAAAGAAAAATGATGTAATCATTTATAAAAATTTATCAACTCATTTATTTGACTGCTGCTTATTCAACAAGAAGAGCCATAAATAAATGGTCCCATGTCAGCCTGGGAGAATGAGACGAGAGAGCAAGGACTGGGCGATTGGGAGGGGAGGCGAAAAGAAAAACTGACTAGACTCAGTGGGGAAACACTAAGGGGTGGGAATGCAAGGCAGAGCCAGCTTGTGCTCCTGGCCAGCCCGTGGGAAAGCTGGCTACAGGCAGAAAGGAGCTCGAAGTGGGCGGTGCCTCCCAGGGGACCTTGGGGACAGCAGCAGCCAGAAGCAAGCAGAAGGCAGATGGCACCCGTCACCTCCTTACCTTCAGGCATCTCTCGGTCATGGATGTGGTGCATGTGGAGGTCCTCACCAACTTCAACAGTCACCGCAGCAGGCTGCACAGCAGCAACAGTGGGCGCTCCTGCCACCCCATCCCCAGCTCCTGCCATCCTGTCCCCAGCTCCTGCCTCATAGATCTCAGATTCAGAGGGACACACAGACCCCTGTTGCTGGTCAAACTCGGGGCTGATCCTGGGGCACACACAACAGGTCAGTATGTTCCCCATGGAACGCCTCTACTGTCTGCCACCACCTGGGCCTCTGCTCACAGCTTGGGCTCACACTCCAGCTGCCCTAGGCCAAGGCTATGCTGCACTTGCAGAGATGGTCTTGCCTGCTGCTCGTCTGCCCACCTTACAACCCGGCCCCGGCCCCGGATGGGACTGCAGGCCAAGGCCCGCACCCTGCCGCTTCCCCTGAGCTGACTTGTCTGTGAGGGTGAAGACCAGCCCACTTATTTAATAGGTTGTGAACCCAACAAGCACTGAGAGACACAACAACTGCCTGAAGAGAGAACAGACGGAGCTCCTCCTCCTTTTGTAGTCACCTACAGACTGAAGCCCACTGGCCCAGGTGGTGCCTAGGCATGTGGCACACAATGCCCCACCTCACACTTCATAATGACCTCCCTGACAGCTCACAGTGCCCCATCCTGGCTGCCACCCCTCCCCAACAGCTCAGAATGCCCCTGCCTGGGCTGCCCCACCCTGTGGCTTATGATGCTGCTGCTCTCCTGGCCCCTCGTGCAGTGCCAGTGGGACTAAGGTTTTCATCCATCACCAGCTTCCTGAGCTTTTTAGTCCTAAGAAAAGCACAGGGTAGTTCGTTACTTGAAGCCATCTTCCTCTATGAGTTCTACACAAAGCCTCATTAGAGTGGGTCCCATTAGCAACCAAGTTGAACAACTTTTATTTGCTGACTGAATATAGATACACCTGAATGGCTGACTGCTTTTGTAACTAAACACTCCTCTCCTGTCTTCCAATGAGTGGTTTTGTCTGCAACTTGAACACAGCAATCCCTGGGGCCCTAGCATATTCTCAATAAAGAGTTACGGGTGTGTGTCTTGAATGACAACTTGGGATCCATCCTGCCTCCACCTCCTTCTCCATAAAATAGAAACCTAACTTGTCCCTCCAAGCTCTAAAATGCTGAAACTTACCAACTCCCTTTTCTCCCCGCTATTTCTTCCTTCCATGGCAGGGACTTTCAGATTTTCTTTCTTTTACTAACAAAGCACTAAGCATGATTTTGTCATACAAAATTGAGAGCCATAAAGTGGGTTACCACCATCCTAATTCAATAAAGATGAATACTCGACATCTGGCAAGTAGTATGTGCCTGACAGTGTCCCCACTGTGACATGCTCATTTAACCTTCAGAAACAATCTCATTTCACAGATTTTACAGAAGAACTTGAGATGGAGAAGGTAAGTAACTTCCCCAAGGTCACGTGACTGCTAAGGAAGGGTGGGGCCACAATTTGATCCCAGGTAGTCTGAATCCCCCAATTCCTCAAGCATGATTATCAGAAATTATATCAGTCTGTTTTCACACTGATATAAAGAAATACCTGAGGTTGGATAATTTATAAAGGAAAGAGGTTTAATTGACTCACAGTTTCGCATGGCTGAGAAGGCCTCAGGAAACTTACAATCATGGCAGAAGGGAACCAGATCTGACTTACATGGTGGCCATACAGAGAGTGTGAACATGTGAAGGAGCAACCGTCAAACATGTATAAAACCATCAGATCTCAACTGGGCACAGTGGCTCACATCTGTAACCCTAGTACTTTGGGAGGCCAAGGCAGGTGGGTCAACTGAGGTCAGGAGTTCGAGACCAGCCTAGCTAATGTAGTGAAATCCCATCTCTACTGCAAATACAAAAATTAGCTGGGTGTGGTGGCACATGCCTGTAATCCCTGCTACTCAGGAGGCTGAGGCAGGAGAATCACTGGAACCCAGGAGGCAGAAGCTGCAGTGAGCCAAGATCACACCATCGCACTGCAGCCTGGGCGACAGAGCAAGACTCTATCCCAAAAAACAAAGCAAAACCCTGTAAGATCTCATGAGGACTCACTGAATACCACAAGAACAGCATGAGGAAAACTACCCCATGATCCAGTCACCTCCCCCCAGGCCCCTCTCTTGACACATGAAGATTGTGGGGATTACAACTCATGATGAGATTTGGGTGGGGACATGGCCAAATCACATCAGAAAGTAAAAGTAGAAGTCAATCTTGGACGGGAAGTGACATTGTAGATTATTATTATTATTTGAGATGAAGTTTTGCTCCTGTTGCACAGTGAAATTGTTTCTCTAATTTCATTTTCAGATTGTGTCTTGCAGATTTATAGAAATACAATTGATAAATGATTCTGGCTATTAACATTTTATTCTTCAACTTTGCTGAACACATTTTTTCTTTTTCTTTTTTTGAGATGGAGTTTCACTCTTGTTCCCCAGGCTGGAGTGCAATAGCGCGATCTTGGCTCACCACAACCTCTACCTCCCGGGTTCAAGTGATTCCCCTGCCTCAGCCTCCCAAGTAGCTGGGATTATAGGCATGTGACACCATGCCCGGCCAATTTTGTATTTTCTTTTTTTTTTTTTTGAGACGGAGTCTCGCTCTGTCACCCAGGCTGGAGTGCAGTGGCCAGATCTCAGCTCACTGCAAGCTCCGCCTCCCGGGTTCACGCCATTCTCCTGCCTCAGCCTCCCGAGTAGCTGGGATTATAGGCATGTGACACCATGCCCGGCCAATTTTGTATTTTCTTTTTTTTTTTTTTGAGACGGAGTCTCGCTCTGTCACCCAGGCTGGAGTGCAGTGGCCAGATCTCAGCTCACTGCAAGCTCCGCCTCCCGGGTTCACGCCATTCTCCTGCCTCAGCCTCCCGAGTAGCTGGGACTACAGGCGGCTGCCACCTCGCCCGGCTAAGTTTTTGTATTTTTAGTAGAGACAGGGTTTCTCCATGTTGGTCAGGCTGGTCTTGAACTCCAGACTTCAGGAGATCTGCCCGCCTCCGTCTCCCAAAGTGCTGGGACTATAGGCATAAGCCACTGCGCCCAGCCAGATTAGTATATTTTTAAAAGAACTTTTTTTTTTTTTAGCACAATCCTGACTCACTGCAATTTCCACCTCCTGGGTCCAAGTGATTCTCATTCAAGTGCCTAAGCCTTCCAAGTAGCTGGGATGGCAGGAGCCCACCATCATGCTTGGCTAATGTTTGTATTTTTAGTAGAGACGGGGTTTCACCATGTTGGTCAGGCATCTGATCTCGAACTCCTGACATCGAACTCCTGTGATCCACCTGCCTTGGCCTCCCAAAGTGCTGGGATTACAGGCGTGAGCCACTGCTCCTGGACAGAACATTTTTTTGACGTGGATATTAACATGCCTCCCCTTCATCCAACATTGATTAAGTCCCTTCTACATGCCAGGCACTGTATGTGTGAAATAGTCCCAACTCTCAATGAGTGTAGGCAGATGCACAAACAAAGGCTTAAGGAGTTCAGTTTTCTGAGACCACACTGCTAGACAGTATATGAACCTGGGATACAAACCTACCTCTATTTGACCTCAAATTTGATGCTGGGGTGATTTTAATTTTATTCTGGGAATTTGAGTCACTGAACCATAAAAAGGTGAAAAGTCTCTGTCAGATGTGTGTGTAGTGGTCTGTATAATAAGGAAGAACTGAAGGAAGCAATCAGACCAATTAAGAGACTTTATCTAAAGGCAGAGTAATGCTAAGGGCAGTGGCAGTGACAAAAGTGGAAGAAAAAGTTTGTGATCATTTGGGAGACAGACTAGGAAGTGCTTGGTCATGAGATGTGAAAGAAAAGGGGAAGTAGAGGAAAAACAGACCTGCTCAGGCTCTGCTGGGGAAGACTGGGTACATAGGGGTGCCTTCCTCCTGGCAGACAATGTAGGAAGAGAAATGGGTAAGGAGGAAAAGATAGTTTTTTACTCTCAGTGTCACATTAAAATGGAACTCTCTGGTCAAAAGTTGAATATAAATCTCTGTAGGCTAAGTCCATTTGTGACATCCCAACATATGTTTTCAAAAATAACACACATACTAAATCAGCCGTTAAGAGTAACTGGGGAAATTTCCTAAAATTTACATGCTCAGAATATCATCATTTTTCATTTATCACTTTCATGGAGCAACTTTGAATCTATGGTTACAGCAAATGAAGCATCTTGTATAAAATAAAGCTCATACATGAAATAAAACATTTAAAATTCTATTGTTCTCAGAGAATGGAGGAAGTAACTGAAGCCATGGGTGTGGAGGTGATTGCCTTGAGAAGTTGTGTACAGTAAGGAGAAGTGGGAAGAAAGAAGACCTGGAGAATAGGGTGATTTACACGGCATTAAGTGAAGTTTGCAAAAGTGAGCACTGGGAGTCAAGAGACCTGCGTATGAATCAGGAATGGCTGCTCCTGTGAGTTGTTAGAAAGGAGATGATGCCTTCTTTTCATTTCTATAACAGCAGCACCTAGCACAGTGCCTGTTCAATAGGTACTCAGCATGTATTATCCCAATGCACAGAGTCAAATTTTGCCAGGAGGTAGGAAAGCTACAAATCAGCTATGGCAACTTAGTGATTGGGCTTGTAGGTGTGAGTTAGCTGGGTGTCAGGCAGTGGGTAAAGTAGTGAACTGGAGGTGAGAAAACAATGACACAAACTCAGGGCTTCTCTTCCCTAGTATTTGGCTGAGAAGAGAGATGTAGCAGTAGTTAAAGGGAGATACGTGGTAAAGAAAGCCTTTTATTCCAAGATTGAACAAAAGCGTGAGTATACTTCTATGTTAAAGGGAAAAAGCCAACAGCGAAAACACATTTTTGAGGTTAGAAGAGAAGGAAGAACGAATGCACAAGGGCCCCAAAAGGCACAC